TATTCAGTTATTCATTCAGTTACATGAAGATTTTTTTCTTTCAATTTTTGTCTAGTACTTTATATTTGCAGTGCCATTTGCCCCCATTCCCTTTTAAGACCATCTGGAATTTGTCTGTCTTCAGGTATTTAAAACTCTGAAGTAATCTCAAAGAGGTTTAGATTGACTCTCAAAATTACAAATTAAGCGTATTGGAAAAATGTCCATCTGTTGTGATCAATCACATTAGCTTTAGAGCAAGGAGTAGTCATAGTTCAAAAGAATTTAAAATCTGAGCTAGGTACCTATAGCTCAGGCCTGTAATCCTCGATACTCAAGAGGCTGAGATTTGAGGATCACAGTTCAAAGCCAGCCAAGGCAGCAAAGTCCATGGGATTCTTAGCTCCAATTAACCACCAAAAAGCCAGAAGTAGAACCATAGCTGAATGATACAACACTAACCTTGAGCAAAAAGATTCAGGGACAGTGCCCAGGACTAACAACTCCCCCCCCCCCCCCCCCCGCCAAAAAAAAAAAATTAAGATTTGGAAGGAACCACGGAAGTGATCCAGATCAGTGAGTAGAGGAAACAATAGAATTCTGGTCAGGGCAGCATTCCAGGTGGGACCTGTATTCCAGGTTTTATCAGATATTTTACCCCATAAGCCATTCACATTCATTGATTCTTTCATTACTTCATTCATTCCCATTTTTCTTTCAGATGTCTTATTGCTTTTAAAGCATACTCGTGACTTTCTTTTTAACAAAAACAAAACAAACTATCCCAGAAATTTACTCTCCCCCACCTCCTCCCCATCACTAGCAACCAGATCTTGTTGTTCCTGTCCAAACTTCTCTCCCACTGGAAGAGCCATCTACACTCAGTTCATCCTTACCTCTCCCTCACTTCTCTACCTCCTCCATCCTGCTTTCCTTTACCACCCACACAGCTGTCACCAAGCCCCTCCCCCCCCCCCAACACACCTCACGGAGCTTTCTAGTCTTCTTATTGTTGCCCATCTCACAGAAGCATTCTGCATCATTGCCTTCTTCTTCCTGGGCTCCTGGAGCCGCCCCGCCCCCCTACACCTCCCCTTTCTCCTTAATGGCTCCTCCTCCATTTCCTGTGCACAGCATCCTCCTCCTCTTTTTTTTTTTTTTGGTCCGGTCATGGGGCCTGAACTCTGGGCCTGGGCGCTGTCCCTCAGCTCTTCAGCTCAAGGCTAGCGCTCTACCACTTGAGCCACAGCGCCACTTTCCGGCTTTTTTCTTTTTTGCTTATAGTGGTGCTGAGGAATTGAACCCAGGGCCTCAGGCATGCAAGGCAAGCGCTTCTACCACTGAGCCAACTTCCCAGCCCATCCTCCTCCTCTTGGAGGATAATAAAGTGAGCTTAAATCTCCTCAATGTGCTTTCTCTTAGGTCTTCTTTCCTGTACCTCCCTCTTTTCCCTTTGGTGAAGGAGGGGAGGAGGGAGAGAAGAGGGGAAGGGAGAGGGAGGGAGGGAGACAGAGAATACAGAGGTAGTGTTATATATACTTAAGACTCCTACTGTCATATGTTTATATGACTGCCCGCCCCCCCCCCCCAACGCATGAACACAGACACGCACACAGATATTTGGCAGGTATGTAAGTAGCTAGCTAGGTATCCCAGGCCTTTTTCTCTACAGCCCCAGACCCATATTTTTATTTTCTAAAGGCACCCTAAATTTGTTTTGTCTAAAACCACATACGAGTTCTCCCGCACTCCCCTCTCGATAGGTCCTTCCCATTGCTATGTAGTGCAACTCCCAGAGCCATCTTCCTCACCATCCGTCTGCTATTCTATTTCCTGAGTAGCTTCTAGAGTGTTGCCCTGTTTTGTTCCTACCCTAGCTTTGAGGGTAATAGCCTCCAGCTCTTCTGTTCACACCTACTCATGTCACCTTTGGCCATGCTTCCATCATTTTCAAGTATGGTGTTTCTAAACACAAAGCCCATCATGTTGTGCTCATGCAGTGTCTTCCTCTTGCAACTACGTAAGATCCAAGAAGTGTTACTGAATCTTGCAGTGAAACACTTGAAAATTTACTTCTTTTTCTCAAATCTTACCTTCTTCAAAAATGCCTCTTATTTCCTCTGTCACAGTCAAATGTCTGTCTTACAATCACTTGCCATCACCTTTTCCCATTGCTAGACTTTTACCGAGTCACTCCCTCACCTCATCCTCCGGCCAGGACTTCAGTCACACGTCCCTCAGGGACCGTCTCAAACTCCCCTGCAATCAGCCCTTCCTCCTTCGCTCCCATAGCAGGGTATTTTTCCCTTCAGTTGCAGCTTTGCATTCATCTAATGATGATCTGTTTGTTTATTTATTTCACTCTCATGTTTGCTGTTTAAGCTTCACAAAGGCAAGAGATAGCCTGACGTGTTCAGTGATATAAACCCAGTGTTTGGCATTATGACTAGCACCCTGTAGGTGTTCTTTAAGTATTTGTTAAATAAATGAGTGATCAACCACATTGGGCAAAAAACCCTTTTTCTTTCTGATTCAGTGTTTGTTGAGTAAAATGCACAGCAGAGGAGAGGGAGCTATCTTTTATGAAGCTCCTTTTACATGCCACATAGTTGACACATTACTTAGATGGAAATAATGAATTGTCATGGATAGTTTTTCTTTCCTTTTTATAACTCCTTAAAGGGTTTTTATGTGTATTTCATGCAAATAACATGGGTGGCTAGATTATTTTCAGTGATTTAATGTGACTTGAAATATGTCTCTAAAATCCTATTCTATTTTTCCATTAACATATTTTAGCAATTTTCAACTTGCATGGCTGGGCATTTGATTAGCAGAGGAAAAAAACTGGATTAGATATAATTAACACCTGGAATGTGATTGCCTTATTAATCTCTAATGTAACTTTATGAGCATTACATGTACATATATCCCAGACATGGCTCTTAACTTTTGACTTTTTGGGCAACACATAGCTCTGATCTTAGCACTAAGAGGCATGACAAACACCTTTCACCTTTCTTAATTATAGTAATGGTGCCTTTCCATAATTGGAAAATGCATAAATGTGATTTTATATGGTGGAGGATAAGCAGAGACTGTAGAAGGGGTAGTATTCACTGCTGTTTTTTCTAATTCCTAAACCTGTCTTCTCCTTTTTGAATTAACTCTTATTTCTTTTAAATAATGAAAACTGTTAAAACCAACCTTTCACTTGTTCCCTATGTTTATTATCTGAATTAGTTAGGTGGCTGATTATACTGAATTTGAATCTCCCCTGAAACATCAGAATACCACATCTGCTAAGCAGAGGATACCTTGGCTGAAGCTCCAGTGTGTATATTTGTGATTATGATAGAACCTACAGTATCCAGGTGAATGTGCCTCCAGAGCAAGAGGCTGTTGACTCTGGCCAATCAGCATCATGTGCCTTATCCAATGCCACCACTAGCCCAGGGATTTTAACAAGTGGCAACAAAGATATAATAATACTGTAAGGAATGCTAGAAAGAAACCCAGAGTTTTATGTAAATGTCAGAGGACTAGGTTTTCAAATGCTAACTAATATTTTTGGTTTTGACATTGTATATGGGACATAGAGAATATGTCTATGGGCTTAATTTTGACACTGCTTACCTGTTTGTGGCTGATCAGAATTCTTTGTTGTTGTCTCCAGCTTCTCACAGATTGTTTCTACTTCATCTGTCCAATGTCAGTTCTTGCTACTGTTTCAGACATCCTGTGTCCCAAGCATGGCAAGCCATCTTCTTGTCCAAGGCTCTGCCTATTTCTTCATTTCCTCCCACATGGCATATTTCCTCTTGTTCTTTGGTTGTCCAGAGCACCCAGCCTTGGTCCAAGTTATTCCAGGCTGCATTCAGCACTTAGGTGCTGGATGATCATTCTTTATGGTTGGCTTCAGTATTTTTACCAATCAATCTTTACTCAGGTATAGAGGGAACACAGAGATATCTGTCTGGAGGTGTTCATGCCCAGGCATGGAAAGCATAATACATGACCGCAAAACTCTTTGTAACCCTGCTTCTCTAAAGGCCTCCAGGAACCGGACCTCAATGCCCTTCATGGCCTCTGGGCTAGTTTTGATAGGAATAGTTTGACTTGGGTATATTGGGATATCCCTGTAATTTTAGCACTTGGGTGGCTGAAGGAGGATCTCCTGGGCTATATAATGAGATCCTATGTCAAAAACACCAAAAGGTGGGTCCTGGATTCCATCTCTGACTGTGAGTTAACCAAAAGAGAGAGGGGGGTGGGAATGAGGAGGGGAAGATGGAGAGAGGGAGAGGAAGATTGGGAAAGGAAAAGGGAAAGAAATGGTTTGTTTGCTTGTTTACTTACTCAAACTGTATTTCTTCCTCCTCCCCAAATTGTTATCCTTAGGCATTGGTCTTGAATTCTTTACTGAATAAGGAGTTAGTCAATCAAAAAGAGCCTTTCTTGACTATGCAGTGTGTCCACCTGTATTTTAAAGCAACTTTGGTGAGAAGCAGCTTGTTGTCTTGAAAGGAGACATGTACAAAAATTTCTTCCCCATCAAGCTTGGAGGGAGATTTTAGTCATAGCTACCAGGGACTACCAATCCTACTATGTTTTCTTTTGAAAGCCCTTTTCTTTGATATTTCTGCTTTTATCAACATTAATAAACATTTCCTAAATGTGTGACCATATGCTTTGCATATTACATCTCCTTAGAGATCTGAATTTTTCCCCTTTTGAACAATCAGAAGTCTAATTATCTGTATATTAAGTTTTAAATCTCATAATAGGTTAGATTTATCACTTCTGCCTAGGTTGTTATGAATATTATGACACCCAGCTGTAAAAATAAGTTTTCACAGATTTAAAAATAACATATGTAAGCAGACTCTTGAAACTTAAGCTTTTCCTTATTGTTTTCAAATACACTGGAAAGAACAGTTCAATGTACAATCTGTGCTATGCAGTTGCCCATTGACCCTACTGCTTACTGTAAATTCATTGCTGTCTTTGTGTGTTCTCAGGTGCTGTGATACTCTTGGGAAGAACCAATATGTTTCGCTTTAACCACCCAAAGGAAGCTGCCAAGCTCAGGGAGAAGAGGAAGGTGAGGGTGGGTCATTTTTAGGATGGGTCCTTTTTGTCGGTTGTAAGGGATGGTTTTTGACCTTTGGGAGCCCAGAACCTACTGAGAAGTTCTGTAACCTGGATTGAGTTTAGGGAATTTGGTTTCTGGCAAATGATGGGCTGACCAAGTAGGAAAGTAAGGCAAGTGGAGTACAGAGCTGAAATCGCTTTTATACCCTTTTCCCCAGTAGCCCAAAGGAATTGGGCATAATTTGGCATTGATTGAAGAATGACTTCTACTTGCCAGGATCTGTCTTGGGAATTAACCTAATATTGGATTTGTGTTCTTTCCAAATAAGCCACACTAAATTGAATTTTTTCATTGAAGCATAAAGTGGAGTTAGAGCTGAGTTTAGTATTATTGGGGAGAGATGGGCATGCTTGGATGGGGCCATCCAGGGGGTCCTTCAAATGCTCATTGGGAAAGCTGGGCTTAAGATCCGAAAAGAAGGGAAGAAATGAGAGAGAGAGAGAGAAAGAGAGAGAGAGAGAGAGAGAGAGAGAGAGAGCTACAACACCATAGTTCATCTTCAGCCTGACAAAGGGAATTAAGACTTCAGCTGTCATTTGTATGAACCAGGACATGTGTTCACCTATTACATAGGTTCTACCACTAGCTCTGTTCAGAAGCTGTTAACACCTGCTGTGTTGAATACAATCAAGGTGAGAAACTAGACCAACTCAGACCTCCAGTAACAGGTGCTGAGGCCACCAAGTAGGGAGCCCAGGTGGCACCTGACCTTCAGGCCCCAGGCTACCCAAGGTTACTAGAATCTAACACTAGGATCTAACAAACCCCAGCCTTCTCCAGGCTGCTGGTCCATTCAGTGAAGTCTCCTGTCTCTTCCAGCCTAGGCTACCCAACGGGTTTTTTGGTGTACCGTTTAAGAGACCATTTGGTGGAAGCAAACTAAGCATAATAATTGCCTTTGGATCTCCTGTCATTTACCTCTCCACCTGCATCACTCAATAGGTGTGATGTTGGGATGCTGGTACAATTGACTTTCATCTTCTGAGCACCAAAGATGGTTAAGATAGTATCTACTTCCCCCACTTTGACTTGATGTGGGGGCTAAGAGACCATCTGAGTTGTAGAAGTCTTTTGCCAGAATTCATCTACTATAGAATGCCAGGACCCTGTATCTCACATCAAGATCTTGCATTCAAGATGTTCTATAGCCTGACTGTCCTGAATCTGCTGTCTCAGATAGGCCAATTGTTACGCGGTGTATCTCATTGTTTCTCATGAGTTGAAGGCTGTGAGTCCAGACCATTAACTTTCTCTTACCCACTAAGGTAACCACTTTGCCCTGTGTCTGCTCTTAGAGTGGCCTTCTGTCCTCCTTCAGCTTGTCCATGACTGACCTCTCGAAGTCCTGTGAGAACCTGTCTGCGGTCATGCTGTACAACCCAGGGTGAGTGGACAGCACTGTTTCCTCCTGTCATTACCCCTGTTGTGGTGTGTATTGTACCAACTCCATTATAATAAGACTTCTGCATGATGCCTCCTTAGTATACCAGCCTTCCTCATTTTCCAAGTTCTGAGTACTTGCTATATATGTACATAATTTTACTTAGTTATAACCACAACATAAATGAGATTATATTTTCTGATTTTCTTCTTTTCAAAACATAATGAGCATTAGTAAGGGTTGCTGCAAGCTTCATTATCATTTTCATAACTGTCTAATATTTTAAATTGGCATTTTGATTACTCAGTACATGGTTCCTTTAGCTTACACACTTTTAACTCATTTTATAAATTTTAATAACATAGGCAGCCTTGATTCTTTGGGCATCCAAAAACCTAGGAAATTATAATAATCATGACTTCCAAACACTGGAGGACACAAATGAGGGTGTTTGAAATGGGGTTCTCAGTTGAGCAACCTTGAGCGGTCAGCCTGACTGCTTAAGTCCTTAGTTGCTTCATCCGTAAAATGACGGTGATAATGAAAATATCTTAAAAAACAAGAAACCACATGAAATGACTTTTGGATTCTTTCCAGTTTTGTGAGGTTCAATAATTTGATCTTTCCTCACATAAAACAATGAAACTAAATAAGATAAGACCGATACATATGCCATCTTCTAGAACTGTCATTTATTCAGTAGTCACTATATGCTAGGCACTGTGCTGAAGGCCTTGCATCCAGTCTAAGTTTAAGTATCTAGGGGAGATGGGCAAGGAAGGCAGAAGGGCTCCAGCTGGCTGTTGGGTCTATTAGATCAAAAGCTTTCTTGGGTCAGAGCTCTTATTCAATTCTGTATTTCAAAGTGCCAATCACATAACCTGGTTAATTCTGAATCTGTTTGCAAACAGGCAGATTAGTGAAATGCATGGGTTCTTTGGGGACATTTAAAAAGCATTGGAACAACAGTATGTTGAAAATTAACTTTACAACTTGTGGGCAAGGAGGGGAGGGGGAACTGGGAGAGAGCAAAGGAAGGAGTGATGTTGCCCCAAAAGAAATGTACTCATTACCTGACTCATGTACATCACCTTAGTAAAAATATAAAATTTAAGAAAAGTATTGGAACAAGACGTATTACGAGAAAAAGGCAGAGAAAAAAGATTGAGTCCCAGGTGTCAGTAGTGTTATTTGAATGATCTCCAGATAATGGAGATTATTAAGATCTTAGGATCTTATTATTATTAGGATCTTTAAGCCAAAGGTAAAAGAAGAAATATATAATAAAATAGAGAATTAGGCAAAGGCACTCAGAGAATTCAAGATGTTTTAGACTGAATTACAGTGACAAAGGAGAAGGTATGGGATACCCCTGATCATAGCATTCATCCTGGCTTCTTTTAACAGACAAATTTTGTTTCCTGAAATACTTGTACTATAAATTCAAATAAAAACTATTTAGTACTCCATCTTAACCTTCTATCTCCCTGGCTTCCAGCTTTCCTCAACTTGCCACCTGCTATAGAGAATGATTACCCAAGAATTAAAATATAATTGGAGAAAAATTGCCTTCTCTAATTTACAGGGAGCAGACACCTTGTTGTGAAATTGTTAGCTTCATCAATACTGGGCAGAATGAAGCAGAGTTATAACCATTGCCATGCTGTTTATACCAGATTTTTTTTTTGGACATTATTGGTATACATACTTTCAGCTTAAATTAAACACCATGGAAGAAGCTGGAAGAACATTGAAATAAATATGTTTAATACTTGGACTTTTGATAAATAGTTTTTTAAATCCAGGCAATAAGCTGCTTGGATACAAGCATGTGCTTGTTTCTAGATGGAGACATAGGGCTGAGCTTCTTTGGTAACCAGTGTGCATTTATTCTGGTTGTGCTGTGTGCTGAGAGTCTGGTGTCAGCTATAGCGCGCTCTGTGGAGAACCTGGGAAAACTAATGAAGATACTCAGAATGAAAGCAAGACAGCATGTGATTCCAGGCAGAGTACAGTGGTACAAGCAGCCTGTTGTCAAGAATTGGGTCCAAAAGGAAGGATGCAAAGTAGAGTGCTGAGGAAGGGATTCACTTCCTGTGCCAGGTGCCCTTTGCTAGCCACTCTGTGACCATGCATTGGGTGATTTAGGAAACCGCTAGCCATCTGGCCTCTAGGAGGAAGACCACCTGTGCCAAGCGTCATAGAATCAGTTTGATAAGCCCAATCCACAGGAACCCATTTGTTCTCAAAATTATAGAGGCCAGATATTTTTCCCCGATGATAACATCTTGCTGAGGTTTTGGCTTATTATCGTTTTTTTCCCCAATTAATGTTTTCCAATTGATGTTTCATTGTGATATGTTCATACATGCATACTTTAATTATATGATCATATTCATCAACTCTATTACTATTTCTTCCCATCCCTTTTAAGTTTCATTGTTTTTAAATCTTTATCTTTTTTGTTGTTGTTGTTGGTTGTGGGGTTGAACTCTGGGCCTAGGCATAGTCCCTCAGCTCTTCAGCTCAAGATTAGCGCTGGCTACCACTTGAGCCACAGCGCCACTTCCAGAGTTTTCCGAGTGGTTATTGGAGATAAGAGTCTCATGGACTTTCCTGCCCAGGCTGGCTTTGAACTGAGATTCTCAGATCTCAGCCTCTGGAGTAGCTAGGATTACAGGTTTGAGCCACTGGCTTTTATCTTTGTTTTTATTTTTGGCTGGTCCCTTGAGTCACAATGCCACAATGCTCAGCTTTTTCTGAGCTGTTTGTAGGAGATCACAGACTTTCCTGCCTGGAGTGGCTTTGAACTGTGATCCTCAGCTCCCAGCCTTCTGAGTAGCTAGGATTATAGGTGTGAGCCACCGGCATTCAGTTCATCATCTTTTTTTTCCCTCTGTACTGACAATTGAAACTTGTACTGACAACTGAAACTTTCTAGACCAGTGCTCTACCTCTTGGGCTTTTTCTAAACAGCACATCAAAACACAGACAGTGATAAGGTGATAACGATTACACCCTTATCAAGAGAAGGTTGATATGGAGGGTGTGGCAAAGCTACAAAGAGCCTTAAGTGAAATCACCTCAGAGCATTTTCTTCTGTGGTTGAGGACATCAAAATATTCCACGTCTGTAATAATGCCTCCTTTGCAGACAAAATCCAAAGAACACTAACTGAAGACCAGATCCTAGAACCCACCTGTTGGGACTCCAAAAATCATTCCCCTCAACCCTACTGGAGAATTCTAAGTTTCCCAATGAACTGGGTCCTATGCTGGGCTCTGAGAGATGTTTCTAAGTGGAAGAGGAAAGCTGGAGAGAAGGAAATTCCTGTAGCAAACCTCCTGGATGCTGACGGGAGGGAGTCACCTGGAGGCTCTAGAGGAGATAAGAGGAATTCCTGTGGTGAAGCCTGGCTGAGGAAAGCACTGAAAGTCTAGCAAACCTACTTGCAGTTTGCTTTTATGAAGTGAATAGAGCTGCTCTTTGGGGCGATGTAGCTTTGCATTTGGGCAGGATGGATTAGAGGAGGTAGGGCATGACACTGTATGTGCAGCATTTCTTAAATGCTGGTTAGCTTGCCCCAGTATGCTCAGAATTTGTGATCATGATTAAAATGCACCATCCAAAACAACTAATTATCTGCTACATACTGAGATTCACTTGATAACTAATTTCTTTACTCTTGTTCTTAGTTGTGGTAAAATAGACTTAGTGAAGCTTCCCATCTAAACAGCTTTTAAGTGTACTGTGTGATGAGTGCATTGATGTTACTGTGCAACCATTTTCTGCAACATTTTCTACTTATGAAAGTGCACCTATTAAATAAGTTTCCCATTTCATTCTCCTGCCTATCCCATTACTATTATAACCATGAATTTGACTACCTTAGGTACCTCCTGTCAGTGGAATCATATACTGTTTTTCCTGTCAAGCTGAATTATTTCGCTCAACATGATGTCTTCAATGCTCCTCTGCATTGAATTGTTAGAACTTCCTTCTCTTTTTATGCAGACATCACATTTTGCCTATATATCATTGTTTGATAGACCAGGTTGTTTCTACTCTTTGGCAACTGTGAATATGGGTGTACAGATATCTGCTTGAACCTTTAAGTTCAGCACATCTGAAGATATGCCCAAAAGCAGAATTGCTGGATCATAATATGGTAGTTCTGCTTTTCAGTTTTCAGTGAAAACAGCCATACTGTTTTCCATAGGAAACATCAACAAGTGTGCAGGAGTCTAGTTTCTTCACAACCTTACTAATACTTGGAACTTTTTTTCCTTTTTTGATAACAGCCATCGTCATAGATCTGATGCAGTTTCTCATTGTCATTTGTCTTCTATTTTTTCAACAATTTCCACTTTTACAAAAATACCTGTTTAGAAATATGCTGTGACTCTTTGAGTTTCCCTAACCCTTGGTCTTTTTGCCTAGGAATTTGAGTACCAGCCTGCTTTTCTATCATTTGATAGCAGCCATCACCGGCTCCATCCCAACATTGGCTCCACCAGGGGACGTTTTCCTAGCTGTCTTCCTCTTGACATCCTCACTCTTAACCTGAGCAAGTCTGCAGGGCCTTTTCCCTCTTAGAATTTTGCTACCAATCACTGTGGAAGAATGTATGGGAGAGGTTTCTTTGTTTTCTCTGAATGGCCTCTGTTGTGAATAGGTGAGGAACAGCAGCATGTTACAAGTTTTAGCTGTTTGCCTGCTGCATGATTCTTGGCTTCTTTTATGAGATGGCAGAGATCCAATCAGAAGCAGGTGGTCAGGTTCATTATACCCTCTTCAGCCTTCAGGGTTGCCCCTTTCTTGTCCTACTGTCTGGACTGACCCATCCCTGTAGAGTGACTTCCAAGCCCCTGCACTATCATTCATTACTTTGTTCTCCAATGTGACCCACCACTTTTTACCTTGAACTTGATCTTTTGGTTGAAATGAGGTCAACACACCTTCCACACCTCTCTCTAGGTTTCTGCATCCATAAAACCATCTGT